CGTACGAATGCCGTCACGAAAGAACCTTACAGACTTCGAGGCAGTCAAGTCATCGTCGACGAATTCACGCACATCGTCCAGCGTTTTGAAGTGCTTATTCATTAAAGCGTACTGCTGTTGGATTGACCAGAACAAATGGTAGTTTGATGGGACCAGATCTGATAAAAATGCCGTGTGTGGGGGTATTTCCCATTTTGATTTCAACAGTCTTCCGCGTTGCGCGAGTAACGTGAGGTGGTCGAGCGTTGTCATTCAGCAGTGGCGGCGGCGGCGGCGGCAGCAGCAGCAGGACTTGGCTGCTTCCTTGACAACCAAATGGCTGTTTCTGATCAAGTTATCATCTCAGTTTGTTCAATTGTCGGCTGAAGCCTTGCGCTGTCACCGTCTGACGACCAGTTTGCAGGAAATACGTAATAAAGTGCACCATCGAGTTACCCCCACCAGATACATTGATACAGATGCCTTCTTCAAGTAGATGTTCTGCTTCAGTGTCGACGTACTGAGTTGCCTGGAATCTACCCACGGTTCACTGTTTTACGTTTAGGGTTCTCGTAACCAAATTTACATTTCATCATCCGTCACAATTTTCCACAAGAAGTCCGTTCACTGCTTAATGCCGATGGACAGGCAATTAAAGGCATGTGTTCTCACGTTGAGCTACGTTGTTGTGTTAGGTCAACGCATGTGGGGCCCAACGTCCAAGTTGTTGAATCTCCCCCATTTTGTGCAAACGCTTGGTACAAACGCCATTTGAGGGACTCTTAACTGAGCTTCTGCAAGTCCCTGTTGAGCTGAGTCTTCATTTAGCAGAGCTTGCAATCACGCACCTTCAAATTTTCGAAACTGCTTTCCGGTGTGCTACTCGTCACTAAGATGGAAATCACCACATCCATTAGAAGATGTTTACCAATAAATACACGTTTCATAAGCACTTTGAATTCCATAAATTGAGTACCGTGCTTTAGAGGCATCTTTGCCTTGTTGGAAATGCAATGCCATCGAACGAGCCGTTTAGGCGTCACCATCGTAAACTCTGCTATTCTGAGAAGTTCTATAACTCATTGAGACTTTTCGTTCGGTATTCTAAAACCTTGCCTCAGATCCATTCAAAACCACGAAAAACCGCGAAAATAAGTCGAATACCTGGTGCCTATTCCACCAGATATCTAAAATGTACTTCATGGGACAAGCCTTGGGCTAAGTAAATGAAAACAGTTATACTATGCATCCTAATCAAGCAGTAAAGCCCTTCATTGTTGCTGTTTATAATTAGTTAATACCTCGGATGTTACAAAAAAGCCAGAAATCAGAACAGTATGTAGGAAAAATTAGTCACTCACCGCAACCTGGCAAATAGCGAGGGTAGAGCGTAGCCCAAACACGAGAGTGAGTGGGAGAGCGTAGAGAACTCATGGGGCAGGCGCGCAGGTGGACTGGAGATGCAGTATCGATTTTTGCCTGAGAGCAATACGAGGCATGCCAACGGGATGGCTGCTGGATGCTGATTGGCTAGTTAGGTGGGCGAGCAACTCGCCGCACACGCGTCCAACCTCTGCGCCGCCGTGACCTCTCCCACCTTTGGCTGAGACAGACGAATGCAAGTGGGCAAACCAAGCCCCGTGTCTGCATCCAGCACAACGAATTTGTTCAAGAACGAAGTCGGTTGGTTTATTTGCAACCAAAACCCTACCTACTCGTTTCGCCCAAGTATGAGTTGACAATCAAAATGGTTTATTAAACTTTTTTGCTAATCGACCCTAAAACTGCATTGCACACCAGTGCTAGTAAGTTATTTGCCGCCAATTTATCAGTAGCACAGCAAACTGAAGGCATTTCTCATTCATAACCATTCATATTAATCCGCCCTATCGCCACAGAGGAATCGTACAACGTTCATGAAAAACATAATTGTAGTTTAAGATTGCTCTACTCATGATTGTGGATGCATTTATTTTCAGGAAGCAATGTTTACTAAAAATCTCTGACCTAAAATACATGGAGGAAGGTATACAGCTAACCAGAGACAGACACGCATAAAATGAGCGACACAGCCAGCGTGGTGGACTTGGATAGACCGCGCCTGGCGTGTTGTTCTGGCCTGTGATTGGTGAATAAAGCCTGTTTTATGGTACCAGTCTCCTTCATAACAGGGCTCGGGTATTCTACAGCAAATAATATATCAGAATGAACAGCTTATAGATATTGTTCGTGTGACCTTGACCGAGAGGATTATCACTAAAAGGGTAGTGTAATATGTGTGGCGATACACAGGTGTTAAAAGTATCATCAACTAGCTTAGGCAAAACATCAGAAATGAAAAGGGAAACTTCAGCGGATACCAATCTGGAAAAAAAGAAAATCTTTTAGGGAATGACAATGTCCCTTAATTTATGAAGAATTTCGCAAATACCGGTCAGGTTCAGACTCATGCGTAAAATTAGAGTTATGTCATGTATGAACACAATCAAATAATGAGAATGTCTTATCTAGATTTAGGGTTTAAACCTTTTAGAAATTTTACACTATTTGAACACCAATTGGATTTTTACTGACTAATTGGAGCATGTGGCAATAGAAATTGACTAAAAGGTTTCTAGTTCACATCTACTGAGGCATTATCATAATGGGATATAGGCTTTTATTACAAAGTTTGGGATAATGAATAAAACCTGTGTTATTAAGTCCCTTTTTTCTTTATTTCTTTTTTTGAACTCATTTTCAATGTTAATTAATAATTTTATCTACTAACGAAAATATGTAATAAATTCTTTACTAGGTTTCAGTATTATGGGAGGCAAAATCAAAAGTCATTAGCTGTGGGAATATTGTCAACTTATGCGACGCTTTACAATGAATTACTAACGAGGCGATTGACTAACACACAGGAATAATTAATGGCTTGAATATAAATAAAATTTCTACACGTCAGAAAAATTTCAAAACGGATCAGAAACATCAACACAATAATATAATGTGCCCATTGTATTTGAGGCAGTTAAACAGTTTCAAAGCCGGCTTGTTACCCAAAAAAATTGCAAAAAATTAAGATGACGTGCATATTTATCCTGCTGTGCTTTCTGTTATTTAAACATATTACAAGAGTTATATTCAAACAGGATATCTTAAGTATTACATGCGGTTCCGCCCAGCTTTACGAAAGCCAAAATCTGCTAAGTTAAAGAATACGATCAAAAAACCAAACTTTTGTTTGAAAAATTAAATGCCAACAAGAAAATTGTTTGATTAACTTATAGGATAAATAAAATGACACAAAAATCATTGCACTGTAAATTTTTGGGCTATTATGCTATGTGAAGTAAATTGTGTTATTAAGCCAATGGCACCATTTAGCCTGAAAACGATGTCATTAATTATTTCACGGACCAAGTATTGTAACTCTCTGTGCAATTCAGTTCGTCATAAAATTTATGGTTTAGAATATTCAAATATGTAGTAACATTGTTAGGTAATTTTTTAACATCACTATATGTTAAAATAATGGTATAATCAAGATTACAGACTGGGCTGGAGGATTAGAGATAAGTTAACTAAAACAAAAATCAAACACATAATCATCGAACATTTATGAATGCTGGTACATCTTATCCCTGAAAATATAATTTTTTAAAATCTTTTTAATAATTTGTCTAAAAATCCTAAATGCAGGAAAGTTAAGTCATTTAAACTCGGACCCTCACGATATGTGGTTAAACCTTTGAGATGACCTTTCGAAGCTTTGATGGTACAGCCTATCTGGTCACGTTTGACCACACATTGGGTTCTATTTACTTGTATAACCACGGCAGGATGAAAAGATTCAGTATGCGGTGAATGTTGGTGAACCGACAGTTCGCGAACTTAACCATTGCTAATATCGACAGTCTCTCTTTTTCTATTGGGTAACGCCTGGTTATAGTCCGCCATTTAGGGCGGATTCTTTAAGGGTTTTCGATGTTCTCGTTATGGTGTCGTGACAGCTTGTGTTACTAATAATGACAACTGCAGTTAACCCTAAAAGCACTGGAACAATACTTAAAAAGAGCAAAAATTCCTTAAGGGTTCCCAAAAAGGCAATTAACGAATGTAAGTGTCACAAGTCCTTAGCACCACTTTTCACACACACATGCCCTTCGTTATTTTCGGTCATTAAAATTACCCACTTTGCTAAAAAAGATTTTGTTTCATAATTTAAATAGCTGTTTTGGAGTCAGTTCCCATCGATTCCACTGATTTCGTAGAAGAAATAGAACCATACCTTCAGGACAACTGTCGGTTTCGTAAATTCGCAAAGGAGGCTACTCATGTTATTGGAGCGTGGCTCATCCATAATCGCAAACTAGAAGAAGCCTTTGGAAAGGCTAGAAGGCGTCTGCAGCAGGGTGATGGGCTCGGCACGACCAAGACTGTTGGTGTAAGCACGCAGTGCGGTTTTCTTTTCACCAAGAAATGGAGCGTCGTGCAATCTATTGCTTCGGATGGGCCCAAACCGGGAAACCTGCCTTCTACGTGGCTAGGAAAACCCAAAAATGGTAATCATCTGATGCTATTAATATCCGTGTATTATATTTTTTGTATTAGTTGTTGCGGAGCTAGTATCCTCATAACTTAAATTTTGTGCAAGTTTACGATCATTTGCATTCATTCTTTTTGTCAGTGATTATTTGGCAAATTCGCGCAGCAGGATTAAGCATCGCCTCTTACCCTGTCTTAGGTTCTAGCAGGCGTTGAATGTATTCTTACTATGTTTGTCGTTTGGCAAGTGCTTGTGCTACCTAAGTTCGAGAAATTCGTTTTAATTTTTTTCCTTACACTATTTAATTTTCTTAATCTGGAACATGTATGTCTAGTGCCCAATCCAGCATGTTGGCTTTTTACGCTGTAAGAATTTTCTTTCATTCGTCTACTCACTTTGTTGTCATTTTGAGTATGATCTAGCCCTGCATATCCTAGTTGTATGGGTTAAATTTGTTAGCAATCTGCCTATCTTCCATCAGGCATTTCATTGTGGCATATCGAAGTACATGGTACATGTCACGTTTTGCCGAAACTTAAAGAATTCGTTCTGACGAATCACCAGTTCTACTTTTGGCATTGAACTCTTGTCTTCTGAATAAATTTTACGTCTATGCCTGCTGGATTCAGCCAGCAAGTCTATTGGATGTTATCTGGAATGTAATGAAAACATTCTGCATAAGTTAGGCCTATACTGACAATCCTGTATTCTCATCAGACTTACAATGCGGCACTGTAATTCAGAAAATTTTTTCGAATAATGCAGGGTTTTTTCCAACTTTTCCGGCATGTTTTTGTGAATGTTCGTAGGTGTGTCTTTTTATCATTTGTACACGTTGTTTCAAGGATGGGGGTTAATTAGGCGTTGAGTCCCTTTCTTGCGCCGGATATATTGCCCTGGTTGGTGAACTTGGTGTTTTACCGCGTGTTAAACTCGTTCCGTAGTCGGAATCGGTTACTTTTGCAGACATTACTCAAAAAGTATACTGACCCGACTGGTTTGGCGTGGTTTGGCAATTTCGTTTATTTTCCATCGGCTAGTATTTTGGTCATTCAGTATTTTGTCCACAAGTCGGACGCGCTAAGCTCGTCTCAACGTTTTCTGGCATGTTTCCTACGAAAGTTTGGTGTCCGGTAGCTTTAAAAACTGTCAATACTCATGTTGAGGGCTACGTTTTACCCACAACCTCTTTCGCTTTTCTGAAACCGTACCACATTTACCTTCAAGCGAGCTGGTTTCTTAATAATGCAATCAAAAATTGTCATTACGGACGCATTGTCGGTGCAAACCTCTCACTTATTTCACAGATTCTGCAAAGATGGGTCCTTTTTCACTTACAGGGATTAGTGCAACCGACGCCCTAGTAATGTAAACACATTAATGTCGGGGAAGTGCCATTGGCAAATTGACTTCAAAGCGCTGGACTTACTTGATACAACATGTGTTTGTTTCACGTGACTACAGTCTTACTTATGTCCGGTTCTCTCATTGCGGATTTTGCATTCACACGCACCAGTCACCATGATGATGTTGACGTATTTTTTGACCTCTTAGGTAGTAATGCGTTTTATAGGTGTGCTGTATGTTAGCCCGGAAAAAAACCATGCATGGTCTTATGTATTTTCAGGGGTTACGATTAGCCAGTGTGCCGATATCAGCCTCGCCTACCTAACAACCAGTTTTTTTGGAGACGGTGACCTTAACCAACCCGTGTCACCGACCGCAGACGACTCCGAGTCGATTCCCGTCACTGACCCAATTTACTTCGTTATCCTAATGCGGTGGCTGAAGGGTAAGGTCTATTCGGTGCAGGCCACACCCCCGGCGTCAAAGAATGCCGAGAGCGGGTCGCAGTCACCTCCGCCCGCCGATTCTCGACTGGACCCGCAGCCCGGTTTCACCTGCCACATGACTAAGTGGAGTCGAATGGATCCGCTTGATCCCACGAAGGTAACGCTGGAGGAGGCCTTCCACGTCAGCCAGGTAAGTGCCCCCAGTTGGGTTGAACTCATTGTCGCTTATCGGTCGATTTTACCTGTCTGGTGGGTTTCCCAGAGTTCCAGTGGTTTGTTCTCGCCTCTTTGCTTCTAGAAGTGGCCTTTTTGAGGCTTTGAATCGGCCTTGGTACAAATCTGAAATGGTAAAACCGATTTGGAGCACTTGGGAGTTGCAAAATCTAGCAAAAATGTTCTAATTTGTGTACCTTAAGGGGCACTTGTAAGTTGATTGTGATGTATGCTGTTGTTTTACGCCTCAAGGTCTACATTTATGAGTATGACGAGGACATGGACTTGAAAGAGGCGCCCGAGCACATCATCCCCTTCGCAGTGATCAAATGCCGGTGGGGACTGTCGCTTGACAAGCACCCTCTGTTTGCCTCTGTGAATGACGGGGCCATCCTCTTGCGTGTCTCCCCACCCCCTCCAGAACCGGAGGGTGCTCAGCCACGGCGGTCTCTTTTAAGCACCCCACCAGGCAAAGAGAAGCTCTTGGCCGAGAAAAGCTACCTACCACCGCCACCCGACTGGCATGAGGGATTTCTCCCCGGGCCACTTAGGAAACCCCCTCGAATGTCTATGGTACGTCTTCTTCTGAATACGTGTAATCCTTGTCACGCCCGGATTCAGTAATCATATAACTCAGAGCAAAACGCTAGCTGGTAACTATGGTCGAAATCGCCACTTCTAAAAAGACACCTTGTACCATGAATTACACGTTTCATAAACACCATAAATTGATTTCCCCGTGCTTTAGAAGCATTTTTTCCTTGTTGCTGGAATTCGTACAAAGTGCAGCGCCATCGAATGTGCTGTGAATCGGTTGCCGTCGTAAATTCAGGTATTCTGACAGGTTATGCAACTCACGTAGGACTTGTCGTTTGGTGTTCCTAAACCTTGCAGCCGATCCTTTCAAAACAACAACAACAAGGGTAATTCACCCATTGGGTTAACATATGCAGAAAACGAGTAAATTCGAGTGCTCTAAGCTCGCTTGTCCCACTTTTTTTTCAGGCGAGAGCAAAGCTAACCGCTGCGCCTGCCTTCCCCGGTCCACCAGTGGCCGCTGCCCCCACGACGATGGTCCACCCGCCCACCGTTCGTCCGGTCAGCCACGCCGCTCCTCTGCCCACTCCCAATCGCCAGAGAACGCCTTCTGGCAGCCTGGGGGATTCGCGAGGCGTGAAGGCCCCCCTTCAGGCATGCTACTATGCCCTGGACCCCATTGTTGCCTCCGGGCGGGCTCTTCAGGCTACGGCGGACGCCTCGTGTGCCCAGGCCCGCGCCCCGTCCACCGACGGTCTGCCACGCTACCTCATCAACACCTGCTACCTGGTGTGGCCTGTCTCCAAGCCATTGGAAGGCGCTGACGCGGAGAACAAGAAGCCGACGGAAGTTGAGAGTTGGCAGTTCCCTGTGGAAATAATATCTTATCGAAATCCATCATTCCAAGTGTACGAAGGGCTGTAAGTGCTAGTGCCGTTTTGCCGCCTGTCGTTTTCATTTAGCCCTAGCGTTATTGAAACTTCTTGACTCCCCTTTTTTGCTCTTGATCTGGATACTGTGTGTTTGCATTTACTCCGCAAACACTTCTTCAGAATGCATTCTTGGTTAGTTGTGGCCCGTGGGCGTTAGTCATGCAGCAAGGTTTGTGCGAGAAAACCGTCAATAAACGGCAATGTCGGCGATCTCAGAACGACATCGGGTTATTTTCCGCGTTTGAATTGTTTTTAAACGCCGTTACGGTGTGAAGTGCTTATAGAATCTCGCCTTTTGGGCATATTTGTTTTTTTTTGAAACTAGAGGAGCAAAACCTGTGTCTTGAATTTACCAAAAAATGCTGATTTATTTGGGTTACTTCAGTTGGACCATTCTCCACCATAGGCTGTGTAGATCTATTAACTGCCTCGACTTTAGACAATCTAAAAATGTAACTTCTGGAGTCTTGGGTTGGTGACGAAGCGTCATTAACCCGAGCGCTGTCGTATCCCTTAAATTTACCGCTTCCATTAAACTAGACATTAGGGTTTTTGTAATGCTGTAGTGACCTAAATATCATTCGTTCTTATTTTTTGCATTATCTTCTAAGATTTTAGCACTGTAATGCATTAGTACCGAATTTTCTGTGGAGCGAACATATAAACCGATGCTCTATTTTCATGGTTGTGTAGTTCGTATTGGACACGGCAACAAGAAACCCATCCAAACGCAGCTACGACTGCTAAAATGGCAGTAAGAAGCTGAAGCAATGGACTTGATTGGTGTCGTAATCATTGTAAATAGATGACCTTTGTGAATCCTCGATCAAACGCACATTTCGCATCCCAGCTGACGAGTTGAGAAAGCCTTTCAGGGTAGAGGTTTAATGCTGCTGCGAAACTATTGCAACCGGACAAGGGATCCCTGCTAACAGATTGCATCCTACTTTCTTGAGAAATGTAGGTGGGGGTTTGGCTGAGTAACAAAAACTGCATGGCTTAAGTCGAAAATCCGATGTATCCTGCGTTGGCTACCCCGCAATCCTTGTAGCAGCTCAATTCTTCGGCGAAGGCAACTGAAGAGCCGCTTTTTTCTTCCAACATGACATCGGAAGGGTCGTGTTCGATGAAGTGAGCGAAGTGGTCGATTGTAGTAATCGTCAACACGAACAGTTGTGTGTCGGTTATGCATCTAATTAGTCTGTGGTCATTTTTCTTCACATTGCACCCAATTCCTGGCTGCCTCCGCTTTCGTAGCCTTCGTTTCAGCCCTACTGACTCACCACCGTCATATTTTTCTTAAGCAAATAATCTGGGCGTTTGGTCAACACAGAAGCCTCATAATTATCCCCCTTTTGAGCTTAGACGTGTGCTTGACTTCTCATTGTTTGTACAGCTGACTCTTTGTCTACCTTACAGGTTGCAACCACGGTTTATAGTCTCAGGTCTCATCTCGTTCTCCCGGTTGCACCATGAATTGGCAGGTGTGGAGGAGCCCAGTGGGTCTGCGTCTCCACCTCCAGCTTCGGTTTCCGACTCCGCGTCTCCCACCCTCCCTGCTGCTGCTGCCGCCGCCACACTTGACGCCGGCGTTCTCGATCCGCGCCGTCCCCGAACTCGCCCAACCCTACCCCCGTGCCCCCCTTTCGTCTCGATCGACCGCTTGCGCGAGTGGATCGTTCCCAGTGAGGAGAACGTCGAGAACAACGCCTCGGCCAAGCCGAGTCGATTCGCCGGCTACAGGGGCAACTACTTCTTGCTAACTCTTCCAGATCCTACCACGCAGCGATGCGACGTGGCCAAACTCTGCGAGACACTGCGAAGCAGACAGCTGGTGAGCATGCGTTTCCGGACACGACTAACCGAACCGCTTCTCGCCCGTTGTACCCTGTCTTTTTTTCCTGCTTCAGGCTTGCTTCATCAAAATGCCCTGCAGCCAGAACGCGGTTTTTTGTATATTTCCTGAATCGGATTTCTCTAGGTCGCTTGGTGAGTGTGCAAGTCTTATACACGGCGCCGAAAGCGTGTTGAATTGGTGTAAAACAAATGTGTCATGTTTCAAATAAGCGTGTACCTATTTTGGATTTAGCTTGCACCTTTGTCGAATTAATCAGTCTAATTGTCCCTTTCCTAATCTGTATTCCACTTTCGACTCACCCGATCCCAGCACTGACATTTGCCTTTAAAAGGCAAAAAGTATTTGTTGAGGATGCCTAATATCACGAGTTTCCCAACAAAGATGAAGTTGATGGAAGGACAGAGAGTCAACCGTTTATTCGAGATCCTGACGAAGTCGTGGTTTTCGGTGGGTTTGTGCGTGTGTATTTATAGCTCGGATGTGTGAGTCATAACTGCGCTAACATCGAGATCTAGGTGTGAGGTTAATCCAAGATACATATACGTGTGAATGAAGGGGGGGTTAAGGATTTGCGCGGCTATCGCCATGCTACGAAAAGGGGAGCCTTGTATCGGAGGCGAATCGATCGGATTAAGGAGTTAAATAAACACGATTCACAACATGTTTTTTTATTAATTTCGTTCGAAGTTGTTCCAGAACACGTATATGTCGAAAAGAACCCATGTAAGCTCTCTTACACGTTTTCTATTACCACGCACAATAGACGAGCTTGTGTTTTGCGTTGAGCCGTGATTTTACATTTATTTGAACGAAAATCGCTGAAACCCAAGTTGTGCATTTTCGTGTCACCGTGTACTCACGCAGTCGTAGTTGTGTCAACCTAAGTTCCGATCAGCTTTACGCGGCAGCAGTGAACGCCAACTCGCACCAAATGTTACCAATGATTCTTGTATGCATTGTCGCTTCAGGCATTCCTCAGCTGGAAAGCGTCGACGCCGTTTCCTTCCATGGCATTTTGCTCCTTCCGCACTCCATTCATTCTTCTCTACTGGTAAAGTGCACATGTCAATTCGTGCAGCGCTCAGGAATCAGCGACCCTCCCAATCCGAAAACGCCTGGTTGGTTGGAAATTGTTTGAATCTTGACGATGCTGTTCTAATCACGGCTTGTCATTTTATCAGTCTATTGAATCGTCAATTGCTTTAATTTCTTACTGGGACTTAAGGCCTGAATTAACCAGTTCCATGGTGTTTATCCCAGCAATGCCTAATGCTTCGTTTGTTGTAGCTCCTTCAGACAACCAGTGGAATATAAGTCTCCCCACACTTGTTGCCGCCTTGCCAGACAATGGGAAAAGCCTTATACGCAAGACCATAGATTCAATGTGGAATGCAAAAGAGAGTCGGAAGGAGCAGCCCTCCAGTCCAGCCGTTACTCCTACTTTTTCCTCCACAAGCCCCCCAAAAGCATCAGCCCCGAAGCATTCAACTTCCGTTGCACCCATTACAGACACGAAATCAAAGGGTAGTTCAAGCCATGATGCGGCCGCCTCGCCTTCGGTCTCCTGTGATATGGATTTAGACACTTCTTGCGAGTCTGGCGTTGCCTCGCCCCTCACGCCAATTCGAAAACTGAACCGAAAACGCAGCGAGATGGCCGACTTGATGTACTTCGACATGCCCAAACCTCTGGTTCCTCCTGCGCCTGAAGAGTATTCGCCCGATGCCTTCCCTTTCAATCCACCCGCGAGTCTTGACAACGCATTTGACAGGGTTGAGGTGGTTGACATATCGGGACCAACTGTGAAATCATCCGCCGACACGTCCTCTGTGGCCAAAAGGGTCCATAGCCCCCAGGCCATGTTTGGTGGTTATGAGAGTTGGAAAAAGGGTAGAGATCGACGTGGTAGGGATTCTCTGACATCCCGTCGGTCTACTTTTCAGTCGGATGGGATGATTCGACAAGATATCGATCTTGACAGTGAAGTGAGCACCGAACCTCGAAGGTCTCTTTTGCCGGACCCGAAGGACGAAAAACGCGTGATTCTGATCAGTCCCGAGAGTCCTGACGAAGAACAGGCAGCTCCACCACGCCCTCCCCCCACCACACCCCCCGAAGAAGAGGAGGGAGAGATTGTGGATGATGACGATGACGATGAAGACGATGTGGAAGCGACGACGGTGTCGAGTGAGTACAGTCCCTCATCCTCTACTTCGACTCCGCAACGCCTGCCCCAAGAAAGTCCACACAAGCCCACTTACTATCCCTCCCCATCACCCGGAAAGCGGCCAAACTGGGATTTCAACCAGCAGTCGCAAAACCAGCCTAAAAAGCGAAGGAAACAGCTGGAGGATGTTGATTATCGTGTGGCCCAGTCAGGTGATGGCTCGGGTCTGAAGATTGCGCGCGATCGGGACTACCGACCCAGCGCATCCACTCCGGTGCCTCACACGAATCGATTTAAAGACACCGACTACCGCTACCAAGTGTACATACCGAAGTCGGCGGAAGCGGTGTCGGTGCCGGTTAAGGTAATAAACCATGCCTACGATGCGGAAAATCAGGCATGGCAACAATACAACCTGGTCATATCCTCCCCTGAAAGCGACTCCCAAATGTCTCCCCCGTCCACATCGCCGCAATCCCGACCAAGTCACAGCAGATCTCATCCTAGGGTTGGTGACTCCTCGAGTGGTTGCTTACTGCCAGCTCCGCAGATCATCCCCCTGACTCCCATTCCGATTGCGGTCTCTCGACCCGCTGTCGTCCCCGGCTTCTACCTCCCTTCAGGCACTACAGCTTCTCCAGGTCGCAGAGGTTTCGGTAGACCGCTTGTTGGAGTGCCCGGTATAATCGGTTACCACCCCTTATCCACGGCTGGTCGCACTGCCGCGGTCATCCCAACTTACTACACTCCAATTATGACCCGTCGCCGTCATCCGCAGCCACCACAATCCCTACGGCCGGCCCATTCTGTCGGGGCTGATGCCTCCGCCTCCAGCGACTCCACTAGTGGGGACAGTAGTGGCGTTGCTAGCAATATGTAAATAGGTTGTCGAATAGCACTGCATTTCATTCCACGTTTTTCCGCCTCTTGTACAATTTCTCTGAAACCAGGCAGAGGGCATGATTATCAAAACCACCTACCTTATTGTCCGTTATACTAGTACATGCCTATGCTTATAAACTCCGTTTTCTCACGCTAAATTTTGTCAGGTGACATCACACACCACCTCCTATTAGTAAGGCTCGTTCTCAATACTGTGAACCAGGCAACTACGTGACGTGGATTGCTATGGCCTGTGACGTAGACGGCGTCGGTGCACTTCAACATACACCGGTTTGTGTTGACAACCGTTTCGTGTTTTAACCAATCACAAAGTTGTTGATGTATTCCGAGTAGACGTGTTGGTCTTGGTATTCTCGCCCTACTTCCGAATCCCCACCACTTCGAATCGGTTTTATCGTTGCGGATGCGCTATGGCGCATGGCAGTTCCAGCTAAGTCTTCTTCCAGAAGTCAAGTCGCAGTTTGGTCGAGTTCTTGAAGGTTCCATTTGTCCCCCTTGGGGTGCCTGTGTGCAGGGATTCGATATTTTCAAGTGTCAGGTAAGGCGCTGCAGCGTCCTTGCCTTTGTCATCGTAAAATCGACGAATTAACAGGAGGGGCTTGCTTAATGGGGCTGGTTTTCGTATTAAAATGCGCTGGAATTTAAGACTTGCGAACCACCACTTCTTGTGCTAGTTTGGATGATAAAAATTACCTAGCGCTTTGAGAAATGGTGTACATCGGAAGCGTTTGTAAGGCAAATTTAATCATTGAAATTACAAATTTTGCAAGCTAACAGTTAAAAATCAACGACTGATTTAGTTGTGTTCTTAAACCCGGAGCATTCATTCAGAAAATTGAAGCATCACTCACGTCAGTATGCATCAGAGCTTCGCTAGACCTATTCGTCTATAAGTTGCATTTGTGAATTCTCTTAACCAGGATACCTCAACAGTGGCATTCAATAATGTCGTGGTGTTAGTTCCACAAACGCGGGTTTTATCTGGGATAGCCTGTCTTTAGCAAAGATGTTCAGAGCAATGGTGCGTTTTCGTCGAACGTTGAACTAGGATGCGATTTATTCCTCGTCGCACATTTCTGTGGTTTTATGGCGGTGTGGAGGTCCAGCAGGCCTTTCGGTCGAAGCCGTGTCGGCAACTGTGCTCTGGTACCTGAACCCAGTGCAAATTGATGCTCCCGGTCTGCGATCTGACAGTTTCCATAATTGTTTGAGCATGATTCGCCTAAATCTAGCTCACTACGGCACCGCGTCAAATGGAGCTCTTGCCATACCATCCAGCAGACCTGTTTTTAGCGAGGTTGACGTGCGAGGCCGAATTGTAAAGCTGTTTGGGTAGTTTTTGTTGTTAGCGCCTGGGTGGAAGCTAATGTCTAACTTCAATTCGCGAATGTCACTGAACCAGACACAAATCATGTGATTGCATGTCACGAAGTTACAAAATGATCTTACGAATTACAACAAAAGTGTTGCAAATAAATGCAGTTGAGGCGGAAGATTCTACATCGACCGCTTATAATAGAACGTAAGATAGTGCCCCAGACTTGGAAATACTGGTGACAATTTTGACTGGCCATCAACAGTTCATGAATTTGATCTATCCATATTTTACTTCAGATTCTCGAAAAGTTTGAGCTTGAAACAATATCTTTGTCAGGTGTTATACGCCCTACTTGCAAGTATGCATAAACTTTAGCGTCTTAATAAAGTAACCCAACACACTCTTAACACATGACAAGCCGCTATGTAAACCCACCTCCATAATCGTTCTAGATACGGAGGTTTGAGTGAATTAACTAGATCAGTGAGGAAACAGACTGTGTGTAGAGACTTGTTTACGGCGCTACAATCTAGGTGATGTGACCGCCTATAAATGTGTTGCGATTCTTCTGAAGTCCTCAGAGAAACATTGTTGTGAGTCGTGTCAATTCACACCCCTTGATCTGGTCGCTCCATCTCCTACACAGGGCTCCCCTTTTTCGCAGCATGTCGGATCCTCAACTCCCCCCTCATTCACCTTGGATTATCCTCACACCTAGGTCTCGATGTTGGCCCATGTATGACTCACACGTCCGAGGTATAAATGCACACGCGCAAACCCCACACACACGACACAATGACACCAACGTGGTTGAGCACTGAAGTAAACGGTTGTGTCCACGTCCTCTCCGGTCTTTTTCTTCATCGCGAGTATCAGGGAAACGTAATCGGGCCAGGGTTAATTCCGTGGCCCCGGCGTGGTTCAAGACCACATGCTGGGCCCCACAAAAACATCAATCTTTCTGCTTTTTCACGAATGATGTTTTGAGGTGTTTCCGAGTGGTGCAAGCTCGTCTCCGTTCGTCACATTTCCGACTACCATATCAGGTATCACGTATCAGAAGAAAATCTGATGGCTCTCTCTTCAACCAACAGCCTCCGATCGAGTGTTACTCAAGCACGCACCTCAAATCATTTAACATGGTCGGTGCTGATCGAAAGGCAATGAAAGTTGCTGTGTACACAGCAAAGTCTGACTTCCCAGCCACATTTCCACTTTGAAAAGTTGTCACCGTGTACTGATGCTTCCATCATCCCAAGTTAAACCTCCTTCCCGTAAAAACGTGCATTGATTTTTAGGGAATAAGTTCATTTTGAGGCCAGCTGAAGCCAGTAAAGGGCGTTTCCGCGTTTTACGGACAACAACGACTGTGAGGAGAGGATACGCTATGGTGTTGGGCACAAATATGACTAATGCGTGCAGTAGATGTAACGTTTACTTCTGAGAAAGCAATTATTTTCTGTGGGTCGTTAAAGGCGGCTCATTTCAACCAACGCCTTTTTCATCTGCAGACAAAAACTTCCACTAACTGAAATGCAGGACGTCATTCATTAACAAATAAAAGGCCCTAGTGATAGACAAGATTGACGTGTCACACGAAGGCACAATTTGTGCTTGGTATGTATTTTCATGAGGTATTCGCCTGACATCTGGGCTCCACGAAATGACACATTTTCTCGATGTCGCTGGAATTTTAGTTTGCGTAACTAACCACTACTCTTTGAGCACATCAAATACACACACGAAGATGTTGGAAAATCCTGATCAAATCTACTAGAAGTGGCATCGTATCATTGACATTCCCTTAATTTTGTGCAGTATTTGATTTTGCAGGGAGAAAAATCTCCTTTTGACGACTTACTCTTGATTTAACCACTAACGAATCACCTTACACTGAAAGTAATACTGTTTTAGACGAAAAGGCTAACATTTAAGCAACATTTTAAATTTAATCTTCAATATTTTAGTTGAACGCGTACACACACACACACACACTTTTCCCTTCCCAGTCTAGTCAAATTCCCGGCTCTTTCGATAGGCTGATTTAGCTTTCATAGATTTTTCTGGTGAAGTAATCGCTTTACTTATAGCACGTGATATTTCGCCAGTAAAACATCACAGATGGGATTTTTTTTCGTTTTGTACGGAAGTATTAACCCTGAAAGTAAAGGCATTGGCGTGTTTGTGTTGAGACGCCCGCGTTCGGCAATCAAATCTTTGCGACAAGAATGTTAAAAGTACTAGATTGTGACCTTTTAACACAAAATGCCAATCCTAGCTGCTAAAATAACATTTAATGGCATTTGCAACAAAATAAGTAAGCTTTAAACTATTCGGGAGTGATTTGACTGCAAATAAACATTATTTAATCGCATTACTACTTCAGTGCTATTTGAAGTCATCAGCTGTTTGCTTTGTGTGCCAACGAAGGCGACGTTTAGCTCGATCCGATTATCAACTAATTTATTAGATATGATTTTAACTTGTATTTCGGTGATAGGCATTGCCTTCTCCCTCTCGACTCGTCGATTACTCTGAAGGACGCTAAACCACTAAAAAGTCGACCCCAATTTCGTTTATCGTATTTCTCGTTTGCTAAGGTCATTTTGGAAAATCCGAAGATCTCCTAATTGCATCTGGTGAAAGTTCTTGTTGAAGGCTTTTTCACTCAAATGCAACACGAAGGCTCAACTGTTTACTTGGTCGGTTAATTTGAATGTGTTCAGCCATGACTGTTCACGTATACGCGAAGAATTGAAGCCTGTGCAACAGGTGTGTTTATGCTGGTTACCGGTAGGAAACGAGGGGGTTGGTTTCACAGGTGCACACCAGGACTTGTCACAGCGGGGAATAGGGGTGCGGGGTCAAGTGAATCAGCAGGGGAGTAAATAAACATGGAGTCTCGGGATGTCTGAACCATGGTGACGATCGCGAATCATCTACGTTCGATAAGGGGATTATCGAGCTCATATCAGAAGAAATTGACAGCCATGAACACCGGATGTAGCGTGTGGGGGGTGCGTTTGACACAACTGTAGTGAGTCATGCTCATTCACGTCCATCAACCCTGTCGCTTCAGGAACCGAAATAGGCCCTCTTCTTGAAGCATTTTCCTCGCTCTGCGTCACTCATCCCCCACCTTACCATTCGGGCATTGGTCCATTTACCAGTTCACCCTAACGCTATTGGTCGAAAATCCTCATTCGTCAAATCACTAATATCCCCCCTTAGGACTTACAGGGCTGGGCCACCTTCTATGAGTTGCTTATCCGTCATCCCGTGTCTCAGGTCTTTTGATAAATCGGTACATCATTCAAACAATTTAATCGGGAGATTTGGTTGGTTACTTCAGGACTGCTTGAAATTGTTTTTTTATGTGAATCTGTTTTTTATCTGCCCGCCTCTCCGTTCTAATTCAAAGCCTAATTGAAATAAAGTAAATTGACTTTAGCCAAGCTTTTCTGAGCGACTTAGTTCCCAAAATGGTTCTAAATGATATTTGTTGCTCAGATTGGGCACTTTAACGAAAATGCACAAAGAAATGACGCTTCGACGCAGAACCTAGGCCGATTTCTCCACGCTGATTCCCGCAAAGACTAACAATACCAAACGTCGGAGATAACAGTTTACTAGATAGTTCAACCAAGGTGTCGTATATGGTGTTTGCTCGTGTGTATTTTTAGCTCGGACGCATAAAACAGGCCGAGTCATAGATGTGCAAACAACGAGACCTATTAGGGCTTGTTATCACACTAATGACTACTCAAGGATAAACGCTCATGGTAATAATCCGGTGTACCGTGTAAAGGGGGCATTTGATTGGTGGTCTTGTCCCCGGCATCTTACGTCTTCACAATCTTATTTGGGCAGATAAAATCTGGAGTTTAGTGCTTAGGGGGGAGTGGGGTGAATTAAGGTACACATGGGTGTGTGCTGAGTCGTGTTGACTCACGTCTACCAACTCGGTTGTCGCATGCTCAGACTCGCTACGGAACTGTCTGCTTACACACCCCTGTGCCTCCTCTGCTACTCGTTTCACTCAACTATCGGGCTTGTTAGTTGTGAAGCCAAACGAACGACTTGTTCCATTCAAAGTGTCTGAGTGCTAGAGTGTTTACAATTAGCAATGACTACGGCTCCATTCAATTTTGTCTTTACGGAGAGAGGTATACAGCCGAGCCTAAACAGAAAAAAGATAGTCTAGACACACGTGTAAACAAACTGCGCGCGCACACACTCGCATGTGCTCAGACACTCAATGACGCGCACGCAGACACAGACACACAGACCGGCACCGCGAGAACCAGGCGCATGTCTCAAACGTGACATTTCACCTGGTCTGCAAAACTCGCGCCAAGTTATTCCGGCACGTAACAGGGCGACCTCATTGTGATAGCCGAGGTTAGACACTCAGTGGAGTCATAAAAAGTGGACTTGCACGAATTTTATGTCCGAATTTAGATGTGAGATTCGTCCTGCGGCACTTGGTGGCATTACGGACAGAGCTATCACAACTGCGTGTGGCTATTTGTTAGGCTTACCAGTAACCAAACGCCCACCCAGAGAACCAAGAAAATTGATCGACAAGTCCACGTGAGTTACGTAATCTGTCACGACAACAGCAGAGCACACGATGGCAACTGATAAACAGCACATTCGATCTCACTGCATCCAAAGCACGCCAATCAATTTGTAGGGTTCTTAGTGCCGACGTTGTGTCTTACGAAACGAGTACGTATTGGCACAAACGTTGTACTAGAAGTAGTGATTTCGATCTTAGTGACCAGCCGCGACCGGGACAGTAGCTTCGAAAGTTTGAAGATGCGGCATCACAAGCTCTACTGGATGAAGACTCAAACCAAACGCTGTTAGGAATGACCAAAACAGCAATAATCAGTGAATGGACTTCTTGTGGGAAATTGTGACGGGTGACGAAAGCTATACTTTTTTACGAGAATCCCGAACGTAAAACGCAGAATCGTGGGTAGATCACGGGCACTCAGTACGTCGACACAGAA